TCAAGTCAGGACTTTCACTTCGGGGACCCTGCCTGCCTCCCACCCAAGATTTGGGAAAGACGCCTGCCTCTTTCTCTCAGGCTACCCTTCACCATCCCTCAGAGACACACCGGGTTCACTCCTATTTCCTCTGCAGTTTGTGACCTCCAATGGCACCAGGCTAACCAGGTTCATGACCTGAACTCAGTCATTTCTCTGCTCCTCCTTTCTGCCCCCAGATTCCTCTCTACTCTGTGTTTCTTCCCTCCCGTGGTAGCCAAGTCACAAATAACAGCGGACACCTTGGGTGGTTCAAATGACTGAGGACCAGCTGCAGCTGGTAGTGAGTTGTCACCAGAAATGTTCTCCCAACCAAGCGCTCATGTGGTTAATGGTTTAATTCCAGATCTTCCTGGCTGAACTCATCAGATGCTTTTGTGTGTGAACTTGCTGCCCCCTGTTGGGGTGGTGGAGCAGAGCATCCGTGAAGTCTGGCCATGAGATGAGATGCCTGTACACTAAAAGGAGTGGGGGAGGAGCATGACCCTATCTGCACAAATGTAAGGAACAGCCCTTGCAGAAAAGACCACCAATGTGTGCAGCTGAAATCCCCCAATATTTGTGCAATATATTCCAGAACACAAGCAGACCAAACTTAATGAAGCAATGCGAAGTAAAGCGAAGCCAAGCGAAGTGAAGTAAGGTGAAGCGAAGTGAAGCAAGGTAAAGCGGTAACATTCCATTTGCACACATTTAAAGACTATTGAAAAAACACACTGTAAGACTATTTAATTTCCATTCCATGAGAAACATCCAAAATCCATTTATCAGATTGACTCGGATCCTCCCTTAATGCAAGGTCCATATGCATCTAGCAACAGGCGGAAGGGGCGTTGTGAGCTGGATGAACTGATAGATGAATGACAAAGCAGGAATTGTAGCTTCAGTGGATTCTTCACACATGAGAAAGCCGTCATGCTGCACCCAATGTAACTTACAAAAATACTGATATGTTTCTCTGTGCATGTTTCCATGAGCATCATATCTATGTATATCTTTTCTTGTGTGCAGTCTATTTTCTTGTGTGCAACCTTCCTCACAGGGTTGTTGTGGGGATAAGATGGAGGGGGAGAATGATGTAAGCTGCCTTGAGCCCTTTGTAGGAAAAAGGCAGGATATGCATCAGAAAATAAATAAATACTTAAATAATTAAATAATTAAATAAATAATGTGTGTTTTTACCAGACGTTTGGACGAGATGTTCTTTGCTCTCATGGTTTCACGTTCTCCCTCTTTCTCTCTCGCTCCCCGCATATACACATATATATGGCACAACGTGTAACACAGAGGGAGGGAGGATGGGAAAGCATTGCGAGCTGTGAAGTAATTTGATTTCCCCAGTTGCGTTTGTTCCCGCCAATGGTTAGAAGTGGTGGCGTAAATCAATCAGCCACGCAAGTCTCACTGACCCATACATATTAAAATAGCTAAGCCACAAGAGTTCACTTTTAATTAACTCATCCAGGGATCAATTTCCAATCCCTGGCTCACTCTTTATTGTGTCAGTCTCACATAAATACACCAAAAATCCTGTCCTAAGAAATTGTCACCTGCATTAAGGTAAACGATGCCCATTGATTTCAGCTGGCTTCCTCTGCAGTGTTCTTTCCATATACCAAACTTCTCTGGGGCAAGAAGTTACCCCAAGTCTTCACATAAGTAAGATGTTGGGTTGCTCTGGGAACCAAAGGGTGGTTAACTGGAGATGATTTTAATTGGAAAAACAGAAAATCACTGCCTGAAAAAAGGGGCAGAAACCTGTTGAGGGGCAGCATTGTGGGGTAGATGGGAAGTCTACACGCTGCACCATAGTTGTGATAATTGTCCATCAGGACAAGAGAGATTCAGTCTCAAGTTCGGCATTGCAGCCGAAAGCCTAATTCTCTGGCTTTGCTAATTGTAGCATTAGGAGAAACATTCAACCCACAATGTCTTATCACTGTTTTTGGTCAGTGGAAGTTTAGCCTTCATGCTAAGTATGCCAAAGTGCTTGTATTTGTGACATTCATATATAGCTCTGCTTTTGCAGTTCATGTCACTGATGAACAAGGAGCATTGCAATGAGTGAAGGGGCTTTTTGCCAGGCTGCACGTTCTCTTCCTCCCACTGTGTCTCCTGCACAGTAATACATTGCGGAGCCCTCTGGCTTGAGGCTGCTCATTTGCAAATGCAGCTGGCTGTTGGAGTCGTCTCGGGAGATGGTGAAGCGGCCCTTCACGGCGTCCGCGTAGTAAATGGAAGTGGACTGTGTATGGATAAAGGCTACCCATTCTAGGCCCTTTCCAGGCGCTTGTCGCACCCAGTTCATCGCGTAGCTGCTGAAGGTGAAGCCGGAGGCCTGACAGGAGAGGCGCAGGGACTCTCCCGGCCGTTTGACATCCCCTCCAGACTCGACCAGTTGCACCTCTGACCGCACACCTAGAAGGAAAGGAATTTGACAGTGACCTGGTGTGTGAAGATCAGCCTTTCATGCAGCAAATCCATTTGAGGAAAGAATACTACCTGCAAGGACTGAGGAAAGTAAGGTCAACTGCAACAAAAATGCCATTTTCACCTGCACTGGTTTGAAAAAATTTCCTAAGAAGAGGTGGCAGGTCGGAGTGGACAGAGATGGTGCCGGGAGGATTTAAAGAGGGAGCAGCGTCAAGACATTTGCATGTGCGTCAGGATAAAAGCACAGGCGGGGCCACCCGCGCATCTATGGCCGAATACAAATGCGCTTCTGGCAGCACAACCCTGTCCCTGCTGAGAGCATGGCTGCCACCGCTCACTGTGGGGGTTCCTTTCTGCCCCACCCTGATGGAAGCCCTCCGCTGTGTGCCTGATGTATTTTGTAGTAACAGAACTCCTGCTTCCCCAATCCCACCGACTGCGCTGAGGGTCCTTTCCTCCGATGACCCTAATCACGGTCAGGAAGCTCACTGCAGGTATTCCATTTGCCTTCTCTCGAGAATCAATGAATTTCTGCCACCTGCTCCATGACTTCCATTTTGATGTGCTCCACGGCTATTCTCTTCCCTCTCTAACCTCTGGGCTGCAATCCAGCTTTGCAATGCTCAGGTTCACCCCAAGATGGTGGCCCATAGGGATGGTTGACGTTGGAGTCTTTCACTGAGCAGAGGGTTAAACAGAATGACCTTTTGACGCTTCCAGCATTCTTTTTCTCTGATTCATAGAACACATTTCCTGGAAGTATCTCTGTGCTCCCTCCAGTTCCCTCTTTCCTTGACAGTCCATACTGAACTATAGGGAGCATCTCAGGGGACTGAGGGGATGAGGGGCAGGATCAGTTTGATATACAAACAACCACAGGAACCGCTCCCAGAGGCAGCTGAAGCCACAGAAGGGCACTCATGGATGAATATTTGAATTATGTGCTTCCTTCCCGTCCTGCATGGCTAAAGGCATTCGGCATTGTTCATTGTTGTGCACGTACTGCCCCCTCTGGGCTGATGGAGGGTTGAGAAACAGACAGGGAAATCCACTCAGCCAGCAGTGGCAAACTCACCTCCAATTCCTTTGAACATTCTGCCAGGAGGCAGGGGTCCCTTATGGATATGGGGGCAATGAGCACACCGGTAGGTGAAGGAACTGTAATGCTTTATTTATCTTCAGGAAAACAAAATCGCATTTACACCTTGCAGGAATATCTTATCCCCTTCAGCTGCCAGGAGCAGCAGTTAGGATGCCAGAGATACCCCAGACCATCAATCACACAGCATCCGGCATCTGATCTGTGTAGAAGCTCCCAACCGCAAGCTCTCACCCACCTGGTTTTATACCTGAATGCTTCTGACTCACAAACCTCCATTCTATGCATGCCCAGCACATGGCCTTTGAGCTAAACAGCTCCGGAGTAATCTAGGATCCTCCCAAATGCTCTACGCCTGGGAGAAAAGAATTTGAGAAACATGAACACATTCCGTTGTATAACTGAAGACTCAACATGCTTGATGAGTGCAAAATGAGGGGAAAGGAGACAAGTCAGACCTCCCTCCTCACCATACAATGTCTTCTGCAGGTTTCCAATACACATGCTGCCCAGACAGCTTTGTGAGAAATGTGATCTTCGGGAAGAGAACTCTGGGGCACATGGGGCTTGATGTGAGACATCCTGCATCTGCCTGCATTATTGCCCCTTCCACCCTAAACCTCCTCCCTAAACCATGTGGATCGTGACCATCACGCTTCAATTCCATGCAGCTCCCATGCGCGTTGCAGGCCAAGAACAGGAGAAGACAACGTAGGAGGTGCTGGATCATAACCAAGGTCTGATCCTCCATACTCGTGGCAGCAAGTTAGCTGGCCATCGGGGTCCTCCAGCAGAACAGAAGCAGGGCCACCCCCTGGCAAAGCCCCTCAGAAACTACTGCAGGCAGGAATAGCAGTTCTGCTTCACCAGGTGGCACGAAGCCAGACAGTTGTGGTGATGGCAGATTGTTTGCAAGACTGCTTGAGTGCAAAAACAGTCATGAACGTTTGCATGTTTGTTTGGATCAAAGGTCCTGGAAGGCCCCAGTGGATCATTCAGCACTCTATGCCTGAAGACACACATCCTTGCAGCAATTCACGTACTTGCTCATGAACAATTGGGAGTGACCTTTGAGAAAGGGAGGGCTTTCTTTTTTGCAGGATATACAATCCAAGCATGTTCTTGCCATATGTACTTTTCTGAGCATGGAGGGTTTGCATGCTTTGATGGAAGGTGAACTATTTTTTAATGCAGCCGTGGCAAAGACATAGCTGGGACTCCAGGAGGACATATTCTCCCGGCCTCGTTCCCCCATTCAGTTTCCAGGCTTCTGATTCACCTCCTCTCCCTGAGTTTCTCCTCCACAGGAATCCACAGTCGGCTCCTCAACTTGGAGGCTGCTGAGTTTCAGAAGCAGCATGTTGGAGCCATTGTTTCTGGGGCTGGTGAAAAGCTCCTTCGGGAAGTCCATTTCATTCTCTGCTTCCTCTGCCCTGTGTCTACACTCCATTCCAGGCCTGTCCCAGGGGCTTCTCACCAGCAGATGCCAAAGCTGCTCAAGGTGAAGCCGGAGGATGGACACAAAACGTGGAGGGACCCCTGAATTTCTGAGAAGGACTTTAAGTGGATCCGAGGGATATGGTGATATCTGGTACATCCCAAATTCCTCTAGGAGAAACAGAGCTCTCTTTTGTTTGAAAAGCAGCTCCTTCCTGTCTAAGCAGGGATGCAATTCTGACTCTGCCAGTCAGTCAAGAGGAGGGTTCTTGTCCGGCTGCACATTCACTTCCTCCCACTGTGTCTCTTGCACAGTAATACACGGCCCTGTCTTCAGCATAACAGGCAGGTCACTTCCACGGACCGTGTGGATCATGACCATCATGCTTCCATTCGATGGGGCTCCCATGTGGCTGACAGGCTAAGAACAGAGAAGAGAACATGGGAGATGCTGGATCAGAGCCAGGGTCAAGCACTGCATACTCGTGGCAGAAAGATGACTGGCCATCGGGGTCCTTAGGCTGCACAGGAGCAGGGCCACCCCCTGGCCAAGCCCCTCGGCAACTCATGCCTGCAGGCCTGCCAGTTCCAGTGCAGGAGGTGGCAAAAAGCCAGCAAGGCTCATGGCCGACAGAAGGGAGCTCCCTCTGCCTCTGTCCCATCCCCTCCTAAAGCCACCCAGATTGGTAGCAAGAGAGTTGTGGAGATGGCAGAGCATTCGCAAGAGCGCTTTAACGAGGAAGCAGTCCTGACTCTTTGCATGCTTGTTTGGATCAAAGCTCCTGGAAGGCCTCCACTGGGTCATTCAGCAATCTATGCCTGAAGACACCCGTCCTTGCAGGAATCCATGTACTTGCTCATGAAAAAATGGGAGTGTCCTTTCAGAAATGGAGGGCTACTTTTTCTGTAGGAAATACGATCCCAGCAGGTCCTTGCCATTTGTATTTTTCTGAGCATGAAGGGTTTGGGTGCTCTGATGGAAGGCAACTGATTGTTTCATGGAGCTGTGGCAAAAAAGTAGCTGCGACTCCGGGAGGACATTTTTTCCAGGCCACGTTTCCCCATTCAGTTTCCTGGCTTCTGAATCCTCTCCTTTCCCCGCGTTTCTCTTGCACAGGAATCCACAGCCGGCTCCTGGACTG